CTGCATCCGAATGCTGCGTATTTGCCTAAGGTCATCCCGCTCAACTACGGTTCCATGACCATAGAGCTTTCAGGCTTCAATCGTCCTTTTGCCTCTGAGGAGCAGAGGAGGCTGTTGAGGTGGTTTGGGCATCTGGTCAGGATGCCTCCTGGACGCCTCCCCGGGGAGGTGTTTCGGGCATGTCCTGCCGGCAGAAGGCCCCCGGGTCGACCCAGGACACGTTGGAGAGGTTACATCTCCAATCTGGTCCGGGAACGCCTTGGGGTCCTGCCGGAGGAGCTGGTGGACAAGGCCGGGGAGAGGACGGCCTGGAGCTCCCTAGTTGGGATGCTGCCCCCGCGACCCGGACCCGGATAAGCGGAGGAAGACGACGACAACAGTTTGTGCGTTGCAGGCTTATATAGGTCGCACTCTGAGTAACCGAAAAACAGACGGACTGTTTGTGTGTTCCTCTCCATGGGAAAAGCTTTGTTGAAGCAAAGGCATTCTCGTTGGATTGTGGATGTAATTTCCCTGTGTTACAGTGTCAATGGCTCCCAGCTGCCCTTAGGGGTGAGGGTACACTCTTAGAGATGTGGCTGCTTCTTTGGCGCTGTTTAAAGGTGTTTCAGTTGGTGACATTTGCTCAGTTGCAAGCTGGGCTACACCCCACACTTTTGTGAGGTTTTACCATTTGGATGTTTGGCTCCTTCGGTGCCCCATGCAGTTCTTTCTGCTGGGTCTGACTTGCCATCTTAGATTGCAACCTCGGCCCAGGTTTGATAGCTGCTCATGGGGCATTTTGATAAGTCCCATAGTAACTTCGTTGTACCGAGTGATTCCACTGAAAGGGAGCGTTAGTGGTTATATGTGTAGCGTTAGGAAGTTTATAATGGTCTGCCCTTAACAGCTGCCCCTTCACACAGTAACATCGCCAAGGTCGGACGCTTGGTTCAGTATGTTTACATTCCAGGAGAAGAGACAGAAGAAGAGAAGAAGAACGCTTTACATTGATTAATCAAAGTACTTTATTTGTGATAAGCTAATCAAAGCATTTGTTGATCATTAATAATCAGGTGAATGATCTGTGAAATAAAGATGTCATGAGTTATGTGTTTAATGAATAAACAGGACTGCACCAGACACACTGATATACATTACCATGGAAACGCATGACACATTATTCTCAACCAATCAGAACTTTCGTCTGTCGTAGAGAGAATCTGGGATGTTTACTTAATGTGTCCAATCCAGTTTAATAAGATTGGTAAACAATTAGGAGATATAAAAGAAGGCAACGCCATTTTATATTCAGTTCCACGTTAAGTTCCACGTTGACATCAGCTCTGTTCGATCCGAGCTCCAAAGGAGTTACATCATACTCTCAACATTGTTTTCAACCAGCTCTCAATCCATCACCGCAAAGAGGAGTACAGGCTGGCCATCTGTATTTCCTGTTTTAAGCTGAGAACTGTCAAGCTGGAAGTTTCCGTCGTTTGTACCAACGAGACAACGTTCCTTCAAAATAAGAGTGAACTTGCTGACGCCTGCCGACTACTACCGGAGTTATCCTCAGACGGGCGTTGTGTGCTGTGACCGCTGTTTCAACCAGCTCCAGTACCTCTGAAGGTCCGAGGACCTGGCAATTCCTGATCTACACGGGAGACTCCATATACGGTACGTGGTCACGGCAAAAATGGCGGCTCATGTCATCAGCTTCTGAAGCCTCGTGGTAGCCTAGTCATAACAAACCAGATTCGCTACTCAGCCTAGAGATTCTGAACAAAACACACACACACACACACACCAACACGAAACATCTAAATCCATATGCATTCATCATTGAGATAGTCCTGGTAGATTGTAAGAATTAATAATTATAGAAATTAAAGATTCTTAAACGATCCCAACTCTCTCTCGTTTCTTGTCTCTCAGTCAATACAAAGTGTTTAAGTAAACTCCCTGATGATAAAAACAACCACTTCTGATAACCTAATTAAAGTGTATAAATATACAAAATCAGATAATTAAATTATCTAATTACAGTGTATAAATATACATCTTCAAATCACTACATATGCATAACCAGTTTCTGATGGAGAGGAAGGATGTACAATGCAGGGCTGCCCTATTTCACAGCCCAGCTCGGTGAAGAGCGGCTATTGAACTGAAAAATGCCGGTGACACTGTTGCTTATAAGTGGAGGGCGGAGCCTCCACACAGCATCACACAGATTTGCCTTTACAGGCGTGATTAGATATGTCTTCAGCCAGGCTACATGAGGGCGTGATCAGATGTCCCGTAGTACCTTTGTTGTACCTCGTTCCGCTCCTTCAAGGAACAGTGGTTATATGCATAACCTAACGTTTTCATGTATCCTTACTGCAAATAGATTCTTTAAAAACTTAAAATTCAACCTATAACCTTCAGTCTAGCGCCCTCTTCAGCTAAAAAATATTCTACACAAATTTACAACAGCAGTTTGAAATCTGTCTCGACCAATGGGGGAAAGGTTCCATGCAACGTAACCAGGTCCCATGTAAGGTGTCACAGCTCTGTGGCTGTGGGTTATAAAAGCATCGTGGTCTCGGCCACGCCTTATAGCAGTTTGGACTTGGATTAGCCGCAAGTGAGTGTTCATGCTGTAGTTTAGCAGTTGTTCAGCGTTAGCATTGAGTCAGTGTTCCAGCAAAGCTTCTAGTATTGTAATTATTTAGTTCTAGTAGCTTGCTTGTTAGATTTTGTAGTTAAACATGTTTTTACAAGTGACTTTTTCACCAGCTTGATGGAGTTTGAACCGGGTTTTGCTGGTTTGAAGGGCCTTTCACAAATCAGTCCAAGCCGTTACAGCAATTAGCCGGATGCCGCCGACTGCTGCTTCCCCAAAACTGAGATTTTGGGCTCAATCTGAGGTAAGTAAGCTAATTACTTTTAACAGCTTCTAAAGACATGGACGTGGCTCATGTAATTTAGCTAATATTAGTCAACACTGCCACAGGCTCGGAGCGAGTGTTGTGTGTGAGATAATGTCACAGACGGGTTTGGGTTGAGTTTTTGTGCCAGTTAATGTCAGCGCTGATGCTGAGCAGGAGGGACTGGACACTGAGGAATACCTCCTCCTGTAGCAGAGCTGACCCAGTTCTGAACTGGTGCCGAGTCCAGTTCTCATTAGAACATGTTCATGTCTCATTCTGGACACTGAGTTAGCTCTGAGAACAGTCAGATCACTCACCAGCCATGTTATAAAGCACATATATTAGACAGTTTGTTTTATACATGATCTAAGTTACTAAACTTCCACAACAATGTGATGATATTATGTTTTCAAGCTAAATGTGCTGTCGTCTGACAGCACATTTAGCTGATGATGTAGTCTTTCACCAGCGTGCACCGGTCCAGGCTCTTACCATCAGTCTTTCTGTACCTACTAATTTTAATATTATGTAATTATTTGTGCTTATTGTTACACACGTGTGTATCTTATCATGGGTCTTAAAAAGAACTATAAATATATTTGCTGTTTCTTTATCTTTTACATAGCCTCCAAGCTCAAAGCTCCCAGCAGCAGTGTGTCTGTGACACTGGGACCATGATGGGAATTCCACCCAGAGCAGCTTCTTCTGTTTTCTTTCTACATCTCATCATTAGTCTGACTGATCACCACTGCGGGGCACCTGACCTGACATCTCCTGTCATCTGGCTATGACGGCATGAGTACGACCTCACACACTCGTGACCTATCAGCTCATCTCACAGTATAAATAATCTGATAGCCATGGCTCCCTCTCTTTTTTTTTTTT